GTCCCACCTTTATTTATTAGCAGCTGCTTTTCTTAATTCTGCTACTAGAAAGAAAAGTGCTGTGTCTGTGTATAGCGACTGTAATTGCGCTGGTTCCCTTCGGCTCAATATGATGGTCTTTATATTAAGGTTGAAGTCAAGCATGTGGAATCAGAGTACGACGGTTCATGAAATACTAATGAGCTGCTGACTCAGTACATCGCTGCTGGCTCAGTCTGCCTTGTTTCAGAGTGTTAAAAGTCATATTCAAACCGCTTCCATATTCTTGTCCGCCCTGATATGACTTCTGATTTGATGGTGTGATCTATAATTGGATTTAGAGGTTGCCTACTGGTTAAAAGTTCAACTTCATGGGCAACTTGTTACAAGCTGTTGAAACCACTTTTTCATCTGGTCTATTAGTTATAAGAAAACAAAAACTAGATAAGAATAATGTGTTCACAGTAAAGTGGAGGACTAAGGGGAATGTTTAAAGGTGTAGTAGGTGATGTTCTTCAGAAACATTTGTTGTTGTGCTGGTTAAAAAATGTCTTCATATTCCAATAGTACTGATTAAAGTAAATGATCTAAATGTATTTATAGGTATTTTTTAGGGATGTAACGGTATCAGATTTTCACGGTACGATAATACCTCGGTATGAATGGAACGGTACGGTATTTATTGAATATTTTACAGAAAAAACGAAACTAATGAAAAGACTCGAAAAAAAGTGCCAAAAGTGTTTATTTACCTTAGCACTGAACATATCAATGACATACATATTAGTCATCTATCTGCAAGTTTCGAAACAGGGACTTCAATTTTTCAATTTTAATAACAAAAAACTATTAAACCATATAAAAAAATAAAGTTTCAATTTAGTATTGTTGAAAACTCATCACATTCAACATTTAATCACTCACTCACTTAGATAGAGATGGGTTTTTTAAGGAAAATTATCATATAACTATAGTCTGGTAAAAGCTGGGATCTCTGGGCATGTCCCCTGCAACAGAAAAAAAACCCTCTCATTTGGGACTGAGGTTTCTGGGACAGAGAGATATGATTTAGCCAAGGTTGACAGCAGTGGGTAACGTTGTTCATTGTCTTTCCACCACTTGAGAGGACAAGCCATGAGTGAGATAGAGGTCTCTTTGCGGTACAAGTCAATGTCTGCATCAATCTAACAAGTGTGCTGTGTTCTGCAGTCCCCATGACTGTTTTTAGTCGTATTCCCCGACTTATATTTCACCACAGTCTGGCAGTGCCTGCATACTGTTTTTTTCTATGTCTGTCACCTTTTCTCCTTCTCCTTTTTCGTATCTTTTTAGAAAGGAACCGAAATGCTTCCACACATCTGATTTAAAACCCGCTTTAGGTTCGATCATTTCCAGCTCTTTTTCTTCCCCGCTACTAGCAACACACTCCATTTCCGCATTACTGGATCTGTAGTGACAACAGACTGCAAAGGATGATGGCCACGCCTGGGCTGATGGAAATTGTAGTTCCCGCTACCTCCCGTTCTCTTCATTCGCCCAAGCAAACTTTTCTCAGAAAAATAGTTTTATTGAGTCATGCGCCTACGTTGATATTGAAAAAAAATTACTATTGCGGTATGCCGGTATTTACAATATTGTTACATCCCTAGTATTTTTATATTCTGGGCAAGACATATGACAAATAAAAATTTGTCGGGCAGACAATTCCATAATTCTAATAAGTAGTCAAAACTGTCTGTCAACTAGGGGTGTCAAAATTAATCGTTTCTTCGGTGCACCGCGATGCAGACATGGACAATTCGGTATCGGTTCTGTAATAATCATAACCGGTTATTACTGACGTCATTTATCTCATATGCGCTCTGTCGCAAGGGAGGCGAGCGCGAGTATTTACAACGCTTTAACTACTTAAAACTCATAAACTGTGCACAATTTCACTGTGTGTGTTTGCTGGATTAGTCTTTCACTGACATAAACAGCAAAAGCCCCTATTTCACTGAGATTGGGAGAATGAAAGTACTCCATTTCTCTCTCTCTCTCTCTCTCTCTCTCTCTCTCTCTCTCTCTCTCTCTCACACACACACACACACACACACACACACACACACACACACACACACACAGTGGCCCAAGTGACCTGCTGGCGTGACTTTTCTTCCACCGTGTCTATCATGCATCAGCTGTGATCGCCGCTGCCGCCTGCCGCTTATCAATATCACTCATCTGTGAAGAGCGCTGCGCGCAAGAGCCAATCGCAACCATTTTTGTTGAGGGTGGGACCAATCAAAGAGGTGTAAGAGAACTAGACAAGGATCAGAAAGTGAGCTGGATATTTATATTTGTTTATATTATTTGCTATAAATGCTCGTGTTGTTTAAAGGTACAGTTTATATTTCTGACCGTTTGTATTAAATGACAAAATTGTATTACAAAGAGTATATAAATATAAGTATAGTCATGCATTTAATACAAGAACTGCTGCTGTGAAGAAAATATAAAACCGTGTATGGAAAGCACCGTCAATGCACCGTGATGCACCGAGATATCGAATTGAACCGAATTGATGGCATGATAATCGTAACCGAACCGAACATCCGTGAGACTAGTGTAGGTTCATAGCTCTACTGTCAACAAATTGTCTCCTTTTTGCGCAGATCTGCCATTTGCACATGCTAAATTCAGCTTGCCACAGTTTTTCGTTCAGAATTGTAGTCTTATAAAGTACTGTCAAATTTTCTAAATGGTGTATGACATGATCTAGTGCAGGGGTTCCCAAACCTTTTAGCTCGCGACCCCCAAAATGACAATACCAGTGTCTTGCGACCCCCAATATCCTCTGAGGTGGTTATAAATACAGAAACCTAGCATGCAATGGCGCACACACACACCAATACACCCAAGTCTGTTCTTCGTTTAGTTTCTTTAATGTATGTCAGTGCTGTAAATGGGCCAGAAAGTTTAACTTTGTGTTATAAAATCAGTAAATTAGGTGTTGATTGATAATAATCATCCCCTCCCCAGTTGATCGTTTGTAAAAGTGGCAGAAGGTAGATTTTTCCGATTAATCGTCTGTTGAACTGCATCTTAATCATCACAAATACTGCAGAAGACCTATTGGAACCCACATGGACTCAAGATTCTCATAGAAATCAGTCAAGTTTGGTGAAGAAAAAGTCATGGTTTGGGATTACATTCAGTATGGGGGTGTGCGAGAGATCTGCAGAGTGGATGGCAACATCAACAGCCTGAGGTATCAAGATAATTGTGCTGCCCATTATATTACAAACCACAGGAGAGGGTGAATTCTTCAGCAGGATAGCGCTCCTTCTCATACTTCAGCCTCCACATCAAAGATCCTGAAAGCAAAGAAGGTCGAGGTGCTCCAGGATTGGACAACCCAGTCACCAGACATGAACATTATTGAGCATGTCTGGGGTAAGATGGAGGAGGAGGCATTGAAGATGAATCCAAAGAATCTTGATGAACAAAGTCAGCAAAGTCAGACCTTACTGTCCTAATTAAATAATTAAAAATCAAGGCATGATCATATTTTATTTAGGTAAAATAAGTGTAATCTACAGGCCTTTGCCTTTCATATAAGCCACTTCTGATACTAAATGATCAACTAAAAGTCAAATTATTATTGGTTGTTCTAAAGCTCGGATAGGCACAAGACTTTTCAGGTAGTGTATATGAAACAACCTGTGTAGTAACTGCACAACTTCCAGCCAATCAGAATTAAGAATTTCAACAGACTATAGACCTTTTTTATGGCTGCTGCATGGAGGGCGCCATAGCGACCAGCGTCTTTCTGTAGAATGGTAAAAACTTCCGTTTACAGCGTGTACAACTGGTAATTTGCGCTCAGAAAACGGGTTTCAGTAACGTTTTTAATGGATAACAGAGTGTTTTTGTGACACACAACTTAAAAAATGTGTCTGTTAAAGACGTTTTAATCTTTCAGATGTGGTTCAAGAGCGTCAGAAATACGAGAAAAACATTCTCCTAGTTCACGTGTCTGCCGTCAGAAATACAGTGTGTGTGTGTGTTCCCGGCCTGTCAGCTGTTAGCTCAGCGGCTCTTTAACACACACACAGAGAGAGAGAGAGAGAGAAAGAGAGAGAGAGAGAGAGCAAACCAGATTACTGGCATGAAACTTAACAGGTATGAAAGTCGTGCAATTTACAAAAATGACCAATAAAAGTCTGTTATTGATCCTCTGCTGGCTGATTTGCTGTTCATTCTAATCGCGAGCCGTTTATGTTTTATTTCGTGTGTTGTATTTACCACGGTTTGTGTTTTTCTGTCATTTCGAAATGACACTAGCCTATATTTTCACTTTGTCACAGTTATTAAATCAGTGTGTCAGTGGCACAGTACAGGCTACGTGTGTGTGTCAAACATTTTGGTGAACTACATTTGTTTGGGCTGGTTATATATTTGAAATAAAGAGAAAATGTTGACTTTAGTGATGACGAGGCTTCATTTAAACTGCAGAAGATGCCGTCTGACAACGAGGGAAAAACGCCTCACAGCAGCTGTTTTCCATCCTATTAGATCGCATTTCTTTAAATGATCAGTCCAGGAGATGGTGCTGATGGACAACAGAATTAGCTCAAAGAGGATAAAAGCAGGTAAAATAAATTAAAACTATGGTTTCAAAGCTTTCCAAATGTGACTGTTTACATGCATCAGCTGCCGACCGGAGGTTCTTTGCATCCTTCTTGCGCATACACGAAAAGCATAATGGGTAATTTTGCGTTCCAAGAAAAAGGTCTATAGAATAATCGTATATAAACTCAAGAGTCCAAACTTTTAAGAGGTAGTGTAAGTTATGTAACGTCTCCCTTCAGGCAGAGCGTGCCTCCAGCAGTACTTTCAGAGATGCTGCCTCAGATGTTTCCTGAAAGGCTTTTTATGTAACCCTACTGGAAAGCGAGTGTTTTTGAGGATAAAATCTGACTAATGTGCACAGAAGAGCAGCATGAGAGATCGAGTTTGTTTGTCTGTTGTCTCTGCAGTTGGTGATCATGGCCGGGACGGTGCTGCTGGCGTATTACTTCGAATGCACGGACACGTTTGGCATCCACATTCAGGGTTTCTTCTGTAATGACGCTGACCTGCTGAAGCCATACCCGGGGCCCGAGGAGAGCAGCTTCATCCAGCCACTCATCCTCTACTGTGTGGTGGCAGCTGCGCCCACTGCCATAGTGAGTATCAGTGTAAAGTAACAATATTAATAATAATAATTATTATTATTAATTAATAATAATTAATTAATTAATTATTAATATTAATAAGTATTAAGCAGCTGTAATTGAGTATTTTTTTTCAGAAATTGTAATTTACTAAGTAGTTTTAAAAATGTGTACTTTTACTTTACCTTGTGTACATTTTTAATGCAGTATTGGTACTTTACTTCACTCCCTCAAACTGCAGTTACTTTATTTTTTCTTCAGTGCTGTGATTCCTGTCCAATCAAATTGCACATAAGAAGATAAATCTCACCAAAATAAGACATGGGTGATTTATAATTGCAGCAAACTGCTTGGATGTGTCCAAGAAAATGTTCAAGAAGATCTTAAAATATTTACATGCATTGACCCAGAGACTGTTCAGATGCATGTCACTGATGAGAAGATGAGGGATGTTTACTGTATGATGACCGAAATGGCCTTTAACCTGCCTGGTTAGCCTAATTAACCTAGTTAAGCCTTTAAATATCACTTTAAGCTGTAGAGAAGTATCTTGAAAAAGATCTAGTAAAATATTATGTATGGGAAAGATAAAATAAATCAGTTATTAGAGATGAGTTATTAAAACTATTATGTTTAGAAATGTGTTGAAAACATCTCTCCGTTAAACAGAAATTAGGGAAAGAAATAAATCAGAAGTGCTAATAATTCAGGGGGTTTAATAATTCTGACTTTAACTGTATTTGTATATATACTTGTATAAAAATATTAATAATAAAAAAAATAATAATATTAATAATAATTGGTATTAAATAATAATAAGTTCTTGTTATTTCTGTTAATTGTTAAGGCCCACTTTTGGATTTACATTTAACATCTTAATAAAGATAATACTGATTCTGTTATCTCCTTGAATTATTAATTTGATTTCAACTCTATTTATTACAGCGCCTGATGCCACTAACTAGTCTTTTGAGAATATAAATAATAATAACGTATTGCATTCTAATAGTACAATGGAAATCTTCAGAATAGAAGAGATGGATCACTGAGTGCTGCACAGTTGGTAAGATTGGTAGCTCAAATATCTCACAGATTGCTATATAAGACAGAGAACGTTTCAAATCAATGCTTTATTTCATTACCTGCAGTGTTTGGTGGACATGAACAGCAGAGGGCACTGCAGTACCAGTACACAGCAAACATTACACATGTCTTTTTCCAAGTCATGCTTTTGTTTTAATACAAGAAGCACATTTTATTACTAAATTATATAGGTTATTCCATATACTGTAGGCTTTAACTATGCATTTAAATAAAAGAAAACAAATAAATAAATAAATAATAAGTCTCCAGAGGGGAGTTTCATATCAGTTTAAAAGCCACATAGAGCAGAAAACATCAGCCATGAAAAATAGATTATAGTGTAAATTATATCTGAAAATGATGGTCTCTTTAATTTGTTTTTCATATTAAATATACCAGGGGTTGAATATAATACTTTCCATCAAGACTACTTACAAGCATAGTTCACTAAATTCTGTCGCCTCACCCCCACATCATTATACACTCTATATTTAATATTATTTTCAGCCGGTATTCAAGATACTCATGCCTTCCCTTTTCATACTATGAACGATGACCAAGGGGTTTGAATGTCAGACGTGGCATTAAAGGATAATTGTCGTGCATCAATATTCCTCTGAAGTCATGCAGATGTGACGGACTACATTTTAGGTCGTTATTATTGACACGCAAGGTTGCTTAATGAATATATTAATGGATATTCGGTAAGAAGCTGCAAACTTATGCTTCATTTTCTTTATATTATGTGCTATTAGTACAATGTTAATCAATTCATATTAATATTTATAAATATGAAGTTACTCATAAGTGTTTATTTTGTGACTGTTAAGTTTCCGATACTCTGTGAAATAGCTCCTTTTAATCTTTTCATCACATTTAACTAAAATAAATGAAATAAAATGAAAATGTCTTAGTCACATACTTCATCTATGTAATAAATGAATTAAAGCTACACAAAATAATATTGCACTTATTATTATTATTATTATTATATAATAATTAAAGAGCCCCTATTATATGTTAAAAAGGGTCATATTTTGGTTTTAAGGGTCTCCAACAACAGGCTAATATGCATGCAAGGTCAAAAAACACTTTCATTGTCCTATAATATGCATTTATTTTACATAATTATCCCAGCGACTCCTATATGATTCATTCAGCGATACATTTGTTGCCAAACGCCTCCTTAAGCCTCCTTTCCACTGCACACGACAAACGACAAGTGACAAGCGACAGACCGGAAGTCATTCATTTCCAATGGAGAGCAGTCCGGGAGCTGCGTGGAGTTCTGATCATCTCCGTATGCAGAAAATTCGGATCTGAATTGAGCTGCGGATCCGTTGAAATATTTGAACTCCTGCGACTAGACCGTATGCGACCTGCCGACCGGATATGATGTATTCCAGTGTTTTCCTAGCAGATCGTGTGCGCGAGATGAGAAATATGAGTTTATTTGGTTATTTTTTTGAATTATAAAAAGTCTATATTTAAAAAAAAAAAATTCTGTTCATAAATGTAAGTAAAAAACTAATAAAAATATTTATTTTTAATGTTGCCTGCACATTCCCTCCAGTATTTTAGCGGTCTATGAGTTTCTAGAATTTATTAATTCATCTAAACGCACAGAGAATGAAGGCTCTTGCTTTTGCCCTCCTTTATTTCGGACACCGTGAAATCAGCTTCTCCCCCGTGGTGCACGACAACACTGAAAATACTGTGCGGCTGCCACTAGGGGGCGTATTCCGACAGTCGTGTCCAAATGTTGTGTGCAGTGGAAAGGCGGCTGATGACATTCTTTTGAGATTGGACAACAGCGTTCAGCATGAGACAGTGAAATGCCCACCACGGCTTATCAACAAAATTGAAGTAGTCAGAGTGTAAAGTTTATGTGTGAACATACCTGCTAACACTCCTGTTTTTCCCAAAAGTCTCCCGTATTTCAGACCCAGCTCCTGCCACTCTCCCGTTTTGTTACTTATGCCATGCAAATCCCGTAAATTCAACCACTCCATATATATATATATATATATATATATATATATATATATATATATATATATATATATATATATATATATATATAT